ATGTACGTACAGTCACTGTGGGGAAGACATCATCGATGCACTTATTGATGAAGCCAGTGACTGATGTGGTGTACTCCTCAATGCCATCGGAAGAATCCCAGAACATATATATGATATATGATATGATATGCCATTTAGCAGACACTTTTATCCAAAGCGACTTACAGTCATGCTTGCATAATTTTTTTGTTTGTTGTGTGTATGGGTGGTCCCGGGGATCTAACCCACTACCTTAGCGTTACAAGCGCCGTGCTCTACCAGCTGAGCTACAGAGGACCAGTCTGTATTCCAGTCTGTGCTAGTAAAACAGTCCTGTAGCTTAACATCTGCTTCATCTGACCACTTTTTTTTTGACCGAGTCATTGGTGCTTCCTGCTTTAGTTTTTGCTTGTAAGCAGGAATCAGGAGGATAGAATTATGGTCAGATTTGCCAAATGGAGGGTGAGGGAGAGCTTTGTACGTGTCTCTGTGTGTGGAGTAAAGGTGGTCTAGAGTTTTTTTCCCTCTGGTTGCACATTTAACATGCTGGTAGAAATGAGGTAAAACGGATTTAAGTTTCCCTGCATTAAAGTCCCCGGCCACTAGGAGCGCTGCCTCTGGATGAGCGTTTTCCTGTTTGCTGATGGCTGTTTACAGTTCATTGAGTGCGGTCTTAGTGTCAGCATCGGTTTGTGGTGGTAAATAGACAGCTACGAAGAGTATAGATGAAAACTCGCTTGGTAGATAGTGTGGTCTACAGCTTATCATGAGATACTCTACCTCAGGCGAGCAAAACCTTGAGACTTCCTTAGATATCGTGCACCAGCTGTTGTTTACAAATATACATAGACCGCCACCCCTTGTCTTACCAGAGGCTGCTGTTCTATCCTGCCGATACAGTGTATAACCTGCCAGCTGTATGTTATTCATGTCTTTGTTCAGCCACGACTCTGTGAAACATAAGATATTACAGTTTTTAATGTCCCGTTGTTAGGATATTCGTGCCTGTAGTTCGTCCACTTTATTATCAAGCGATTGTAAGTTGGCCAATAGTATCGATGGCAAAGGCAGATTAGCCACACATCGCCGGCTCCTTACCAAGCACCCCGATCTCCTTCCGCGATATCTCCTTTTCTTTCTACTGCGAATTACGGGGATGAGGGCCCTGTCGGGTGTCTGGAGAAAATCCCTCTCGTCCGACTCGTTAAATAAAAATTATTTGTCCAGTTGAAGGTGAGTAATCGCTGTTCTGATGTCCAGAAGCTCTTTTCGGTCATAAGAGACGGTAGCAGCAACATTATGTACAAAATAAGTTGTCAACTCGGTGAGCAGCTGCTCTTGATCATTGTCACGAAGCCACATCCATCCAGCCACATTCATCCCACTTGCGTTAGAAGTTTAGAACGATAAAGTGTAGGCTATATAGAAACAAAGACTCAAAATCATAAAAAAAAAGGATTTGTATCGGCCTAATCAAGTTGGAGATTACATCTCACATTCCAGTGTTCAAACTTGTAAACAAGGCTGCATGGAATTTTTCTTAATGCGACTGCGTGCAGCCAATGGCAATGTCAGCTTTACACCGCCAAAACAACCGCTATACAGATGTCGGTTAATTGAAACAATAACAAATTGGTCATAACAAAGCAGGTTTTAGTAAAAAGCTGAGGGAGGGCCTGGAGAAATGTAACCACTCTAAAATTCACAGGCAGAGTTATGAATTCAATATTATATATCAACATTATAGTTTTAACCATGTTTTGAGGCTATATAGTGTTTGTTTACATTTACAATGTTTACAAACATTGGAGTAAAACAGCTTATATTTTGGGTTCTGAGGGGTATACTACAAAGCAGGATCAAGGAGTTAGCCAGCTAACTTGTCTAAATATTCTGATAAAAACATTTTATTTTTTAGAAAGATAAGCTTGAAATGGGCATGGTCTAATTTACTCAAAAACCAAAAACACATATCTAAGTTTAGCTTTCTTAATGAACCAGAAAATCAGTAGATATTTCTGTTTTTGTATTGAAGTTATCTGGCCAACTCATAGATCCTGCTTTGTAGTATACACCTTTGAACTAAGCTCATGAAGCATTTATAAGTTGTATTCTTCAAGAATCAATCGGTATATATCATTAATTTGTAAGTCAAAAAATTGATGTAGCAGTTAAGAATTCTAGCTTTAATGTGATATGATTATATATGATGTATTAGAGAGACAAATAATCCTGATGCTCCATTCTCCTTTAATGTGAGAATCTCTGTGAGGCTGGATAGTTATGAAAATCAGACTCCTGAAGCATGCAGCCAGCCCAGACTGAACCCTGGTGATGAACTGGACACAGTCCTTGCGTGAGCTGCCTCAGCTCTCTCTGCGGCACAAGCAGGTAAGTAGCCAAGCTCTTCTCCAGTCCCAGCGTCAAGGCCGTCGGCTGCCATGACAACTGGAGCTCTGCCACCATGGTAACAGCAGCCTGTGAAACCTCCTTTGAAATATGACGAAGCAGTATGCTGAATCGTAGGATGTACAGTTTTAGTCAGGGATGATAAATAACATTAAAAGGTGTTGATATTTACTGGCCACAGCAGCTGCTACACCAACACCAGACAACATAGACTTAAACATCACAATTCTAGAGCCAAAGAGCAAAGAGCACTGCAATATTTACTATGGATGGACCAGTCCATATACAATACATGTTTTCAGTAAAACTTTATTTTTTCAGTGCATAAACAGAACACCATGTCAAGGTCATTTTCTTTTAAACTACTTAGAATCTTATTTTTTTTACATAAAAAAATAATGGAGCAATTTATATATCTCTATTTTCTTCCCGAAAGAGCACTCAGTGAGTATTTATAAAGGTGCTGTACAATATATAAACATTTACATCTACTGTACCCACATAATGTAGAAAGACCACAAGGATTCCTTTTTCTTTTAAAGCAATGCAAGGCCACAATATGATACAGAGACAAGACATGAGACTGGGTATAAATGAATATGAGGGGGTATACAACGGTGCAGAATACATAAGTACAACGAGACATTAATGAACTATTTCTGGTTTGTAACATGTACTTGCTACTAGCAGCTTCAAGGAACACTGGAGGTTGAGCGTGCTCATTCATTCAACCAACAATCTATTGCACAGAAAACACCACTGGTTGGCTCATAATGTACACAGTATGTTCTATCAGTGGCCTGGACCTTTAGAGTCTGTGCTTCCTGTATAGAAAATCCACTCTATCATCACACACTGGACCAAATTCAGAGCACTGTTGATATCCGGTCAATTCTGGCTCTGTGAAATCTTAACTTTATCACACGTCATCATTTGCTACTTTAGTGCATTCCCTGAGCTCAGTTATAAACATGTCTTGATCCAAACCGCTTTAGCGCCTGGATGGACAACTTTTGACAACTTATGTCCACTCCGTTGTCTGACGATGTATGACCCCCATACAAAAACAATATACTCAATCAGTTTTTGACAGATATTACATTTCTGTCTGAATGCAGCCATACCTAGCCTACTCTGGTGTTTAACACAATCACATGCCAAAATTAATTGCAGAAAAACAACTATTTGAAATGATGATATTGGCCATCAACAGTAAAACTTAATCAAGGGATATGGTTCTGGTCATTTCATAAATAAAAAATAATTTTGGCCTTTAATAACAGATAAGTTAGTTATCAGAATCGGTGCTATTAGCATTGTAATGAAATGGCAACAATGTTAGGCATCCCAAATGGTTATTTTCAAAGGAATCAAGATTCTCAGAAAAGAAACAAAAAGTGGTCATATTGTAATCCTACAAGTAAAGGTGTAGTGCAATAGAATTCATATTGGTAAACACCTCAACGTTAGTTTCCGTAAAAAATTAAGATGTTCACATATACAGTATTCCCACAATATAACACATTTGGAGCAATGCCAATTCTGACACATATGCCACACATATGGCAATCTGCAAGTAGTAGCTACTGTACTATATATATTTCATGAACAATGAAGACCCATGGCAGTTGCTACCACTAAAATACATTAGAAAGGATGATGCAAGATGATTCAGGATGATCCTTTGTACTCTATATCAAAACATGGAATGGCTCAGTACGGCTACATACAGTATACATATATATATATATATTAATCTATCATTTGAATAAGTTACACATAGATTATCATAAACATGGTAAACAATATCATACACATGGTAAACAATATCTCAAACCACAAGTTTCTGGTCTTTTTTAATGATATATTTGTATTCAGGAGTCATGTCTTAGAACAGTCTAGAATCCTTAGTAAAGCTAATGCTTTCTGAATAAAGTCTGAAATCTCTACATGGTGTTCAGGTCAGAACTTCGGCATCAGTATTTGCACATCAGGAGAAAGGATCATCCTCAGTGGAGTGGAAAAGGCGTGCAATAAAACAAACATATGGACTGCATGCAGTTGAGCAAATCCCCTGGAAAAAGAGTGCCATGTCAAAAGGCCAGTCCCAAGGCCCTTGCTGTAGGTATCCAACATGAAAATTCAAACTCTTACTGACAGCCACGCTTTGAGTGGGTTAAAGACCTTTCTCCTTGGATGCATATGGGATACTAATTGCATTGTAATGGGTGAGGCATGGTTAGTGTTCATTCAACAAGACGTCCCAGAATTGGCACATGATCACATTCTTGAAGTGTTACTGACTGGCAAGGCCCTGAACATGCCAAACATGCATACGGCCCAGATCAGAGATGTCTGAAGCAGCACACGAGGCAGGAAGAGAGGAAGTGAGATGACAGCGTTGGCGATACATGCCATACACAATGTCAAAGGCCAATAGAGGTTAAAAAATACCTCTTAATGGACACAGCTGGACATGACACATGGCCAATAATGTTGCGATTCCTCGTCCATCCCTCTCATCTGAGAAAAAACTGACAGCATGTTGTGGTTGTGGTACAGCTTAAGTCTGTGTGATTATGTATCAACACAGTGTTATCCATACTGTATCAGTAAGTGGGGTCGCGCAGCACCTCAGCCTGGGAGAGGATTCTGGCTGAGCTGGGCACTTTCCAGGGGCCAGGGCTAATGGGACCCTTTTGGCTCTGAGCATCCTCCTGAACATCATTTGGGGAGGCCCCTGTGTCTTTTCTGATCCTCTCCTCTGTTGGGGATAACACATAGTCTTTTCTACTGCTTTCCTCTGTTGTAGAGGCTCCAGAATCTTTTCTAGTATTTTCCTCTTTTGAGGAAGCCCCTGTGTCTTTTTTCCTTTTCTCCTCTTTGCGTTTTTCCTTTTCCTTTTCCCCGTCTCTCAGAATATCTCTCCTTGCCCCCGTCTCCAGAGGGGTTGGTCTGTGATGTCCTGCCTCTGTCCCGACCCTCTTTCGAATACTGGCCTGCTCATGGGCAGCCTTGGTAGTTCCCCCTCCCCACTCTCTCTCCTGTGTGCTTTTCCTGCCCTTTGAATCCCCCCTTTTGCCATTTTTGTTTTCCTCAAAGGGCTCCTTGCTGGAAAGGTCCTTTGATGTGCTCTGCTGTACCTGCTGTTTCTTTACGTGTGGCTGGCTCAAGACTTCGTGTCCTTCTCGAGGGAACTTCCTGGGGCTGGGTGACCGACTTCCTTTCTGAGGGTAAGACTTCCTGTCCTTGCTTGTCACTGCTTCCTGGGTCTTCCTCTCAGCCTTTTTTGGACTGTGTGAGCGCTCTTTGAATGTTTCACCTGTTGTCTTTTGGCTGCTGGACTCCTTGTAGCCTTTAGACCTGGTATGACCTGGTTTGACCTTATAGAGGTTGATCTGCTCAGGGGTGATGGGAGAGAGCCTGTCTGCCTGCCTGTCTGCCCACTCTCCATTCCACTTCACTGAGCCACTGCCCCTGCTGGTCTGGGGGTGGGGTGTTCGGGGGGACAGGAAGTTCCAGTCAGGTGTCTCACTGGTGAAAGGGTAGGAACCTGAGATGGAGGTGCAGGTGGAGAATGGAGAAGAGAGGAGTGATGTCTCGGAGACAAGCGCCTCTCTTGGAAAACGTATGGGTGAAGTGACGGTTGGATCCAACTTACCTAGAAGTAAAATATGTTATTACACAGATGTAAAATATATATAGAGAGGCTCACATATCCTCATGATAGTAACAAGTAACGTACAAGAGCAGAATTCAGATTCTATAGTCTAGACAGATGAAAGGAGGAAGCAAGAAGGAAATGAGAATGGAATTACCAAGTTAAAAGAGGACAGGCCAGTAAAAGCAGTGAAGTGGTTAATGGTGGTGCTCGTTTGAGTAGTAGCACATAGTAGAGGGGACGCTATCACCTGCAGCAGGGGGAAGAGAGGAAGTGCCAAGAGTAAGCAGTTATAGACAGCAGAGCACTCCATCCATGAAACAAGCATCCCCAACACAGGCACTCAATTTGAGTGACATTTCACATTAACAGAGATTTGTGCTTTTTTACAACCAAATCTCAATTTTTTAAATGTAAATGGAATGTTATAGAAGGGTACAGCATTTTTTTGTGTGATTTCACTTGTTTTTTTAGAAACGTACCCAAACCAGTGATTCATTTCCTCATCCTGGTTGTACAGCACGGGGGCTCCGAAAAAACATGAACAAAGGCTAAAAAACACACAAATATGTCCTTTTAGAAATTGAAAAGCTCTCAGTATAGTGATACAGGTCTTTAGAACATGAAATTGTGTCATTCCGAACTTTATCTGGAATGTTATATGCCATTTTGTGGCGACTCGAGCGTACCTTTCCATCCATTGTAGCAGCAGGCTACACGGAAAATGGAACAGCTGGATAGGGGAAACAGCTCGAGTCGCACAAAATGGTATATAAAGTTGCGGATAAAGTTCGGAATGACAGAATTTCATGTGTACAACATCTAAAGACCTGCATCACTATACTGAGAGCATTTCCGTTTCGAAAAGGACGTATTTAGGTGTTTTTTGAGACTTTGTTGATGTTTTTTCATGGCCCCGTCCTGCACAACGAGGATGAGGAAGTGAATTGCTGGTTTCTCAAAAACAAGTGAAATTGCAAAGAAAGTGTCTGGACCCTTCTATAACATGCCATTTACATGTTTATTCTATTCTTCTGCCATTTACTTAATGTTCGTATTCAATTTTTTTTTTTTACTATTTCTTATTGTTGTTGTATTGTTGCAAGTAAGCATTTCGTAGGAAGATGTATACCATGCGTATCCCGTACATATGACTAATAAAACTTGAAACTTGAAAAATAGAGATTTGGTTGTAAAAAAGCAAGCTTCTCCTTTAAAGGTCCAATGCAGCCATTTTTATCTCAATAGGAAACCATTTCTGGGTAACAATTAAGTACCTTACTGTGATTGTTTTCAATTAAAATTGTCAAAAAAGAACAAAAATAGCTTCTTGGCAATGAGCAATTTCTCAAGAAATAATTTTGTTAGGACTGTCTGGGAGTGGTCTGAGTGGGGAGGGGAAAACTGAAAACTAGCTGTTATTGGCAGAGAGGTTTGGAACTCTCTTTATTATTGGTCTATTAACTAATTTACCACATGGTGATGTCACCAGGCAGGCCAAAACTCCATCCCACCAAACAGGCTGAAATTTCATTAGTTGGCACTATGGTTCATTGTTTACCTAGCTGGCTGGCTCGCTAGCTAACGTTACGTGACGTGTATGATCTTATACGTTGTTTACCTAGCTAGCTAGCTAGCTACATGTCGTAACAAAAGACTCCACTATGTAAGTAACCATTTCGGGTGCGTTCATAAATTCAGTCTGAGTATGCCAGAGTGCAGAATAACTGATGAATTTATGATCGCACAACACCCGTTGAATATGGCCAGTGTCAGTAAACGTCGGCAAAAAAGCGTAATTACATTGTTGCCAGCAGAGCTGGTTAGGCTGTTTTCATGTTATCCAGAGGTAAACATTGAACCATAATCCCAATTTTGTGCCTGAAAGTAAATAGCAAGCTAGCCAATGTTAGCCAGTTAGCTTGGGTGCTTGACTGCCGTTATGAGGTCAGAACGCTCGGATCAACCCTACTCATCGGCCAGAGAATCAAGTGTGCGCTCTGAACGCTCTGAGAGCGAAGCAAGATGGGTGGGGCTAAAGCTTAAGAGGGTGTGAACGATGCTGAATGGGTGTAGACAAAGAAGAGCTCTTCACTAGGTACCAAAACATTAAAATGCCATTTTCTCAAAAGTGAGATGACAAGTTTATCAACTTTCAAAGCAGAATTACTTTCCCATTGTTCCCTTAAATGCAGTGTATAATATACCATTTTGTAGCTCTGTGTCTCAGCTTTTATCCAATGTAAAAAACACCATTTGCTATATAAGACCGAATCAAGGCGGTCGTCACATATATAAAATGCAGTAAAATCACATTTTTGACTGCACTGAGCCTTTATGATAGGGCAAATTTAGATTTCTGCCTAAATAGACATACCCAAACGTAGTTATTTTTCATGAGATGGCCATAAATAATAACTGGCAATGCTACATAGTTTTAGAAAGGTCTGGACCTCACCTTTCTGCTAAAAATAGTTATAAATTGCTGAGATGTAATCACCTTTGAGGACACCTGGTCCAATACATAGTACAAATATTATGAAAATATGAAAAATCATTAGATTTTCTTCCTATTCAACAAAAGTGGGGCAAAAGTGCTTGAAATGACTCAAATGCTTTCTAAATATAGTAAAAATCTAATTATAAATGACTTACTATAAGATTTCACATTTCTTATAACTGTAAAATAAATATGATCATACTTAGTGACAGAATAATATTGGCACAATTTCATTTAACTGTCGAAAGATAATTTTCTCCTACACGTCCACTGAGTGGCGCAGAGACACCATTCAAATGTGTGCAGACTCGTTACAACTTCAACCAAGAGAAAGTGGTATTGTTTAAATTCTATGAAATTATTTAGGATTTTTTTCCATGTTGAGAGCTCTGAATTTCACAGCGAGATGAAACCACAATTGCTGGATCCGCTAGACTGTCTCACAGGCTGGGCTCACTTGCTCAGAGGAAGAGTAAATCGATTATTTGTCTGGATAGGCCAGAAAATGTGACACGTCACTCCCTATGCAAATGTTGGGTGTGAAATCTGACACTTCAAGTCAGCTCCACTAAGAGAGTGGAAGGGGAGAGCAGACAGATGGAGCTTTCTGCCGTTATAAGGCACAGCACCTTACTGCATTCACAGAGCACTTTGTACACCAAAATGTCAGACGGAACCGGTCCAGAACCACTCAAAGTCCCCCATATGGGGGACTTAACATCTAAGAGGGAACATGAATAAACATAAATTAACATGGTAGTTAACAGGGATAGCTAAATCCTTAATTAATGTGTGTACAAAGCATTGATGCATCAGCTCATGTTAAATACTACCAACATGTTATAACACGCATCAACAAACATGTTCAAACATTTTACATCTCATACCACAAAAAAGGTAAATCTTATCTTGTAGATCTAGACTTCTGTGTACTTACTGTTGTCTTGTACCAGCCCCTGCCCTGGTCTTAACAGGAGCAGCACTTTGCTGCCCCCAGCCTGGATCAGCTCGATAGCGCGGGTATGGGTGATGCCCTGGGTCGGTTCTCCATTGATCTCCACTATCTGATCTCCCACCTGCACATACATTTTAGTCATTTAGCAGACGCTCTTATCCACAGCGACTTACAGGAGCATTAGGGTTATCGAGCATATCGACAGATTTTTCACCAAGCCGGCTCGGGGACTCGAACCAGCAACCTTTCGGTTACTTACTGGCCCAACATTCTTAACCGCTAGGCTACCTGCCACCCTACATACATACACAAACATCACATTTTGATATACATACACAAACATCACACATTTATATGATCAAATCCCCAATGGCAACAAGCCATGTTATTAGACATGTTATTATTCAAGACATGTTATTACACATGTAATTAGTCTGTTATAAGATATTATGACATTGAATAATGCAAACAGTAATGTGTGTGGATATTTCCTATGGCACCGGATGTCAGACTTACGTGGATTCTCCCGTCCAGCAGAGCAGGCCCCTCCTCAGCCAGTCTCAGGATGTACAGGCCCATGTTGTACTCAGTCCCTCCCCTCAGACTGAAGCCAAAACCCCGGGATCCCCGGTCCAGCTCCACTGTGATGCAACCCTGCATGGTGCATGCGTACACACATACATATATACACACACGCATGCATGTAAGAACACACACACACACAGACACACACACACAAACACACACACATTATAACTTAAGCTGTAATTTATAGTGATGTTTTTTCTGAGTCGTATCAATTTAATTCATGTCAAATCCCTAAACACTGTACACAAACAATGACAGTAATAATGATATGAGCCTTGCCTGTTTGGGGCCTGTAACACACATTGTTCCCTGTTCGCTCAGAGGCAGTGTTTTGTAGTCGGCCCAGGTGACTCCCTCCCTTTTCTCCTCCAGATCTAGGTTATACCTAGAACAGACAACAGCATTAAGTCACACTACTATATGTATATCTTCAATAATGCACAGCAGTGTCTCCACTGTGGGGCACAGAGAACAAAGCAATTTTAATCAATCATTAAGCTGTTCTGTCTGGGTTGTTCTGCTGAAGCAGGATTTTAATCCATGTCTTGGTGTAGTAATGAGTTAGATCAGGGCCTTACCGCTCTTCCTGCATGGCTGACCTCTGACCCATAGCTCTGTGCTGAAGGGCGGGGCTCTGCTTGGCTGAGCTGGCTCCAGAGGGAGGGCCCTTGTATTCTGGAACACACAAATACATGTCACACCATTATGATAACACAAACACAAACCAACCATCCTACACGGTAGTCATTGGTATATGACTGGGAATACCAGGGAGACCAACACAGTCCCATCTCATGGGTGATACTACTGGTGAAGCTTACCATCCTCAGGGACCACGGTGAGGGTGACAGCGTTGCCAGCATCCTTGATTAGCTGAACGATGTCATTGTGAGACAGCCTCACGATGGACCGTCCGTTGACCGCTGAGATGCGGTCGCCCACGTTCAGCAGGCCACAGCGGTCAGTGGGGCTGCCTTCGATGATGCGTCCGATCTTATGAGGGATCACTGCAAAGAGAGAGTTGTCTGATGATAACACACCAACCCCACTCGATGGATTCAGTCAGAAATATACAATAGGTCTGTGAGGGACTAAATTATTCATTTGTATAGGAGTAATAATCTTTTCACAGTCATCCTTTAAACTCTGTTTTCATACTTTGGGTGATACGATGCTATATTATTTATAATGGCTTGGTCTTGCTTGAACTAGAGGAGACTGGTGTGTGTTTGGTTGTGTCTGGGATAAGCAGTGGTGCTAGGCATCGGGTCCATCCTCACCTCCTAGCGGGGGCTTGCTCTTGGAGGTGAGGATGACGAAGCCGAAGCCCTCACTGTCCTTGCGGTGGAGGGTGATGTCGAAGGACTCGTGGTCCAGCACACTGGGCATCTGGATACGAGGGAGTCTGGGGGAGCCATTCACCAACACTGGAGCCATGTGGAGCCCTGCCTCCTCCTCAGTCATATCTGATTGAAAAACACATGTAGAGTATAGACTGAAGAGCAGTATCAAACGTGTGTGTGTGTGTGTGTGTGCAAGTGTTTATGCAAGTGTGTGTGTTAGTGACCAAGATGTAGAGGTTCCAGGCAGTCAGTGAGTGCTCACCTCTGTAGATTACTTTCCTACGCACGGTCAACATGACCTGACCGTTGCGGGCAGCATTGGTCATCAGGTCCAGAACCTGCTTGTGGGAACGGCCCTTGACCATGATTCCATCGATGCCTATGAGCTCATCACCAGCCCTCAGACGCCCATCCTTCTCAGCTGCACCCAGGGGCACGATGGCACCAATATACACCTGTTAAAGAGAGAGTCACACTCTGAGTCAGAAACACTGAAGAAACACTGTCCGTAGTGTTAAAAAAGTAGAAAGATAATCTAACAGGGAGGAAGTTCATACTTCGGTACTCACTGGCTGCTCTGGACCTTCTCCTCCCAGAACACGGAAACCAAAGCCAGTCTCCTGGTCCCTCTTGATGAACACATCCAGGTCCTTGGTGTGAGGCTCTGTGGACAGTTTACAGGGGTTAGATAGGGTATCAGAGAGGTGAACACCACTCAATCATCCAGTCAGCAGGGTGAACTCACAGGCTTATCTTATAGTTCACATTGATACTGGATCCACAAATGTAGGGTGACCATTAATAGACGGTCATGAACATACAAATGAAACACTGACATCCATTTACTACTACAGAGCTATGGATGGAATATAACTGAGCACAAGGCTGCTAGACCTCTCCTACAACCAGACTCTGTCTGTGGATGTGCACTCACGCTTGCTCTCCAGCAGGGCCTTGGACTTGAGGTACATCTCTGTGGCGTCCCGTTTGGGCGTGTCGTTGCGCAGGGTTGAGGTGTTGGAGTGGTAGGGGAGGGCCTGGGAGACAGAGTCTGTGACACAGTCCAGAGTCTCTGTGCTAGCTGTCATCTCCTGCCTCTGATGGGGTCACAGAGCCACAGACACAGCCACAGCACAGTTAGAGCACATTAAAGACCACACAGTCTATATATACCTCATTATCCAGACACATAGCACAGGATGTAATGGTGATTGAATACTAAAGGAGCAAAAGGTCATTTCACTGCTGGCTCCCACATTGCCTTCACATTACCCCGCTAGCTTGATGGTAAACCAATGGCCAACGGGACTTGAATGTAATTTACCATCCACAGGCGGAAGAATATTTCCCTATGGCACTGACAGGCTTATTCTGTGGACAAGGCCAGCTTAATCTAAAGCCGTCATACGAATATACAGTCTTATCTAAAGAGGCTCTGTGCTTCATTACCATTGAAATCCCCAGACAAAAGGCTGAGAAAATGAATGCTGAATAGAAGTAATTAAGACCTTTTTCAAAGCAAACAAAAGGAGGCCGTGTGAAACATAATCAATATTCAAATTTATACCGGTAGTTATCATTTAATGTGATGCAATGGGGCTTGCTGGTTAGCTCAAGGACAAAAGGCTTTAATATGAAAATGAGGGATAAGTGCCAGGGCACACAATAGTAAAACACAGAGTATTATAGAACAGTGTCTGCTTTTACTCACAGGCTTCAGGCTCTTCACAGGGGATGACTGACCTGTGAGAAACACAAGGATGATTCATGAGAATGTTTAGAAAAGCATGTACCAATGAGACATCAACCAGTAGATGGCACTGCCTCCCTAACAGAGAACGAGAACGGTGAAGGAATGACTGTGTTTAAATAGTCTAGACTCAGGAGGTATAAAACAGTGCTGTAGCATACTCCATCAAGGAACATGACATCACTGTGTTATTAAAGATAAATAGGAGATATGTACAGAGAGGGGACCTAAATGAGAGAGGACTAGTATAGCATAGAGTTAGCGAGAGAGAGAGAGTCATGCATGAAATCCAATGACCAATAATGCTTTCTACTGTCAACTGTACAGTACACCCACACGTTCCATCTCTCGCGCTCAGATTGTTCCCACACTTAATGTGGCTCCAGCATTAAATGGATTCACCAACATGCACTTCTCTGGAAGTCTAGAGGGGACGACTGTTCGTCTGATAAGCGTAAAAGGGTTAATGGACCCTGGTGTAACCGGGAGATCCAGCTCCATTGTAAAGAATCAAGGACATGAAGGACATGAAATAAGACGATAAGATAAATGCAGTATGTTCTCTCTCCGACTGCAGGGTCATGCTCTGTGTGTGTGGGGTGGGAGGCACAGGGTTGAGGGGTGGAGGGTGGGAGTGTAAGGGTAGAGAGGAAGAGAGAGGAAGAGAGTGGGACCGTGAGGAGGAGACCCCTGGGGCCTCCCACTCCCAGTGCCATACAGCGATTAGCTCTGGCTCTTTAAGGGCCACGGATATAGAAGCATGCAGAAATCCTCTGAGCCTCTGATGATGATCAAAGACAATCCAGCTCATCGACTTGTGTACCATTTTCCCAGGACGGCGGGAGATGGATGTGGGAGACGTTTGAAGGATGCTTTCCCCTCCCTCTCTCCAGGAGCAGAGCAGGCAGAGCAGAGCCCCGTGCTTATGTAACTTCCCTTCCTAGGCCTGCAACAGACTGCAGTATGAACGCCTGATGGAGAGAGAGCCTCAGCAGAAGCTGTGAAGCAGCCTGAAGAGATACAGTATATATTCTGTACAGGGAGATGTGGTACAGAGATCTGTGCATACAGAGAGGTGTTTAAGGGGATATGTGAAAGGTACACTATACAGTATATAAAAAAATATGTGGACACCCCTTCAAATTAGTGGATTCGGCTATTTCAGCCACACCTGTCGCTGACAGGTGTATAAAATCGAGCACACAGCCATGCAATCTCCATAGACAAACATTGGCAGTAGAAAGGCCTTACTGAAGATCTCAGTGACTTTCAACGTGGCACCGTCATAGGATGCCACCTTTCCAACAAGTCAGTTCGTCAAATTTCTGCCCTGCTAGAGCTGCCCCGGTCAACTGTACGTGCTGTTATTATGATGTGGAAACGTCTAGGAGCAACAACGGCTCAGCCGCGAAGTGGTAGGCCACACAAGCTCACAGAATCAAACTGCCGAGTGCTGAAGCGCGTATCGTGTAAAAACTGTCTGTCCTCTGTAGTGTATATGTGAAGGGTGGGTTGGGTTGCATAGGGGGTCTCTACAATTGTCATTACTACGTGATCGTTTAAGCCAAAGAGGCAACAGTCCCTCGTGTTCACCTACAGCAGACACAGTGACATCACCAACATTTTATAACATAGTGCGTGTGTGTGTGTGTGTGTGTGTGTGTGTGTGTGTGAGAGAGTGAGTGATAGTTGACCCACTCTCTCACCTCCTGTCAGTATCAGCACATTGACCTCCCTACTCAGGGACACTGTTGAGGTCACACTGACAGTGATATCACTGTATCACACTAATGCCATGGCAACAGTAACATGCAGCAGCAGTACAGTCACAGTGTTAGTGTTATGTAACACAAGTCAGCGTTAATAAGACTCACCTCCTCTGAGCACCAGCACGTTGACCTCACTCCCCACCTGCAGGTCTTTGAGGATGTCCACCACCTGGGCGTGGCTCAGTGTCTGCACGTTCTGACGGTTGATCTCCTTGATCACGTCTCCCTTCAGCAGGCCGCGGCACCACTGGGCATCCAGAATCATCTTCACCTTCTGGCCCAGGGGGCAGTCTGCGATGGCAAACCCAAACCCGCCTGGGCCCTTCACCAGGTGCACGCTCACAAGTTCGGGCTGCAACATACCTGTTCCCCCCTGCTCAGGACGCCTCCCGTTGGGCAGGGCGGCCACCACGGGCCGTCCGCTGGCATCGGTGGTGACGTAGTGAAGCTCCTGGGAGGAGCCATGCAGCACGTCGCCCTTCACCAGCAGGGGCTGGCCGTTGATGAGGGGCACGGCCGTCACCACCTCGCCCCCCTGCAGGGGTTGAGAAGGTGGGGGAGGGGGGTCCTCACTGTCTGGCTCCACGTCTGGGGGCAGCGGGTAGCCGCGGCACAGCACCATGTCAACATACTGACTCACTGGGATGGACTGGAACATCTGCACCACTTCAGGGTGGGTCTTCCCCAGCACACACGTCCCGTTGATCTCCACGATCACATCGCCTGGCGGGGGGAGACCAGAGAGGGAGAGGGAGAGGAGAGAGAAGGAATGGAGAGAGATAGGGAGAGGAGAGAGAGAGAGAGAGAGAGAGAGAGAGAGAGAGAGAGAGAGAGAGAGAGAGAGAGAGAGAGAGAGGAACTAGCCTTAGTAAACAGTAAAACTATACAGACTTACCCATGGAAAATGTAATGGTTGTTATGGCAATATAGTAGCTTGTTAGCTAGGTGACTCTCTTGTTTGTAACGGACTGAATTATTTTTCAGTTGGATCATCATTATCAGAAAGTCCTCTATTCGACATGACTGTCAAACAGGTGCCACCCCCTCTTCTCCACATTCCTTCGTCCTCCCATCTCTCCCCATCCCTTTCATCTCATGTCCTACTTACCTCCCTTCTTCCTGCCACTTCCCTCCTTCCCTCCCCCCCTCCTCTGCTCCCTCTCTTGCCATGATGTGTTCTAACAGACCTCAACTTGCGGTGCTTCCAGGCAGATCATTAGGAGAGAGCTGAGTATGTTTCCTTTACATCTCACCCTGACGGCCAGCTCAGAGAACAGCAACCGCCGTCAAACAGGAAAGGCATGTTGGTTTCACAGCTCACACAAGCAAAGCTGCTGAGGATGCAGAGCCCCAGACAGCCTCAAAGCTAAAGGAATATCAGAGTGTGCAACAGAGATACAGGGCTTCACACAGAATCCACCATAACCTGTCCTGCTCCAGAATGATCCCCTTGAAAATGAAATTCTTGCTCTTTCTTTCTATTGCATCTCTTAGGGAAGTGTTAGGGTAAGTGCAGTCCCTCTATTGGGACCAACATGCCTTTCATTAGGTTCACTAGCTGTCTTTTGATTTGGTGAAAGTGTGTGGCTCTCCACAGCTCAGCGCAGCAGTGTACTACTCACCGGAGGCAATCTTTTTGTTGTTGGCAGCAGGGCCGTCGCTGAGGACATTCTTCACCTGCAGGAACTCATCATGGCGGTCGCCCCCGATGATGGTGAAACCAAAGCCCTGGGAGCTCTTCTTCAGAGCAGTGTGGAACATCTCTCCCTGCAGCTGGGACGGGTCTGGGGTGAAGCCTGACGCAACCTGCTCACCTGCAATGTGAGTGTGTAACATTGGGAGTGTCAGAGCAAGTTGCATAGCTAAATAAGGTGTGACAAACAACAACATAGTAACAAAGTAACAACCTCAAGACAACGTTTCAAACGTTAACAAAAATAGCAACTCTGTCACGACTTCGTCCGAGGCTGCCTCCCCTCCTTGTTTGGGCAGGCTTCGGCGTTCGTCATCACCGGCTTACTAACCGCTGCCGCCCCAATCATCATCCCATTGTCTCGTCTTGTCAATCACATTCACCTGGTTCCTATCCCCTAATTAGTCTGTATAAGTGTTCCCTCTCTGCCCCCTTGTCCTTGTGGGTGATTGTTAATTGTGAGAGTAATGTAGCTCGGTGGAGCTACTCGTAACATTGTGTTGCCAGGGTAGATTTTCCCCTGTGCCTGTTTCGTTGATCGCTATTGGAGCGCATTTGTGTGTCAACGAAGGAATAAACTCTGTATTCGGTGAATACCCTCCTGCGCCTGACTCTTTTCACCACACTCATCACAGAATCACCCACCCGCTATGGAGTCAGCGGGAGAAGAGCGCATGCCTGGAGTCGTGGCACAGGTCCAGGAGCATTCCACGATGCTGGCCAGCTTGGGGGAAGCGATGGATCGGGTTCTTCAGGTTGTCCAACGCCTGGAGAGAAGAGGACCCGATCTGTCGAGACCAGCTGGCCAAGCGGATCCAGCCACCTACACCCCAGCACCCGGAGGGATCCAGATATCCCGACCACGGGCATTTGATGGGACGGCGGCGCTGTGCCAGGGATTCCTCCTCCAATTGGAGCTTTACTTCGCCAGCATCAGGCCGGCGCCATCGGAGCGGGAGAAGGTGTCCGTCCTCGTTTCCTGCCTCTGTGGGAAAGCCCTGGAGTGGGCCAATGCGGTGTGGAACGAAGGAGGAGCCGCGTTGGAGGACTACAGGGAGTTCGCTCGCCTCTTTCGGGCGGTCTTTGATCACTTGCCCGAGGGTCGAGAGGTGGGCGAGCGGCTGGTCCACCTGAGGCAGGGGACGAGGACCGCGCAGGACTTCGCATTGTAGTTTCGGACGCTGGCAGCGGGGTCCGGGTGGAACGAGTGGGCCCTGATCGACCATTTCCGGTGCCATCTGCGGGAGGACGTCCAACGGGAGCTAGCCTACCGGGACACCATGTCCACCAGTTTGTTGAAGGACAACATGGCCATTTGTTTGGACAACTTGCTGGCATCCAGAGGACGTCGGATCTGCCCGTTTCCACCCCGGACGACTCGGATCCCGAGCCGATGGAGCTAGGTGGAGCCGCCGGCCGAGAGAGCGGAGGAGGACAGCGACAGTGCCACTCTGGTGGCACAAAGGGACAATACACCTGCTCTTATCCGTGATCGTCTGATCTTCTGGGCACCAGGGGCGGTGTGTTCAATAGGGCGATATGGGCGACGCACTGCCAAACGGGAAAAGGAAGGGATTTTTTTTCTAATCAATTATATCACGGCAACAGTAGTTATCAGTGTTGTAATCTAGACGTCTGATCTGCCACAGTGCCACTAAATGTCCAATCAGGCTAAAGTCGTGCTTCAAATGGCCCCCCCCCCTTTTGGGGCGATTTCAGTCAGGTTGAAAATCGCCCAGAAGTCTGTCATAGACTCCCATGTAAAATCTATTTTTTTCAAATATCAGAGCTTTCAATACAATCTCTATGGGTTTCTGAGGGCTTGCACTTACGCGCTTTCGTCATACGTAACATAACCATGAACGTAACTAAGAAAAGAGCGGGTAGCCTCGTCAATCAATTCACTACTACTATCAAAATGGCTAGGCTTCAGTGCAACTCGATTGTGTCTTTGAAAGAAGTTCCTTTTTGTCGGCGAACAAATGAAGATAAATTGGCAACGAAACAATTAGGACCTCCCAGACCAAATTTAATAATTCAACAGGTTTCTACTAAAGGGGGGAAGTCCTACACCCGAGGATTTTCCAAAAATTGGTACGAACGAAAAACCTGGCTAGCAGGCTGCGATGTAGCTAATGCAGTCTTCTGCTACCCCCTGCTTACTCTTTCACCCTGAAGGCGGCACGGCAGACAGCACCGCTTGGACAGCGACTGGTGTGTAACGGACATGCACCATCTTTCAGGAAAGATTAAGAAACATGAGCTGTCAAAGACCCACATGGATAGCTGTTTGAGATTGTCTGCTTTGGGGAGAGTGAACATTCCCACTCAACTGGATGAGGGATACAGGCTAGCTGTCCGCCGCCACAACGATGAGGTTAGTGTTGATAATCACAAGTTTACTGGAGAACTGAAACTGACAAGGCTGACAAGATAGGACCCTTTTGTCCATTGTTATTGGATAGGAACAGAACTTATAACCAGCTCCTGACCTAAATAGATCTTAGCACAACATTTTACTCAACATATCATATTCCATATTCACTATAACAAATATATTTACTACGACATTAGCAAGAACCGCCACATCCTCAGCCGGCTAATCCAGTGTGTGAAGTTTTGCGGAGTGTTTGAGTTAGCTTTGCGAGGCAAAGATGAAACTGAGGGCTCCACCAACCCTGGTAAGCCAACACTTTTGAGATCAGTCAATAAATGCTTCTGGTATTGACTTATATGCTGCCCCTGTCTTCATGTTGTTGCTGGACATATCTTTTTTAAAATGTGTGTAGGTCACCTAAATCATCAGAAAAATTGCCCCCCCTGAGAATTTTTTCAGGAGCCGCCACTGCTGGGCACCCACGTCACCCTCCTCTGGTCACCCAGGTATCGGTCGTACTGTGCGCTGCTTGAGCGGAAAGTACTGGTGGCCTACCTTGGCTAAGGACGTGAGGGTGAATGTCTCCTCCTGCTCGGTGTGTGCCCAGAGTAAGGCACATAGGCACCTCCCAGCGGGTAAGCTACAACCGTTACCAGTTCCACAACGACCATGGTCTCAACTTAGTATTGATTTTCTGACTGATCTTCCCCTCTCCCAAGGTAACACCACCATCCTGGTCGTTGTGGACCGCTTCTCCATGTCCTGCCGCCTCCTTCCTCTGCCCGGTCTCCCCACGGCCCTGCAGACTGCGGAGGCCCTGTTTACGCACGTCTTCCGGTACTACGGGATGCCCGAGGATATAGTGTCCGACCGAGGTCCCCAGTTCACGTCCAAGGTTTGGAAGGCGTTCATGGAACGTCTGGGGGTCTCGGTCAGCCTGACCTCTGGGTTCCACTCCGAGGCAAATGGGCAGGTGGAACGAGTAAATCAGGATGTGGGGAGGTTCCTGCGGTCCTACTGCCAGGACAGGCCGGGGGAGTGGTCGGTGTTCTTGCCATGGGCAGAATATGCCCAGAACTCTCTCCGCCACTCCTCTACTAACCTAACACCATTTCAATGTGTTTTAGGTTACCAACCGGTTCTAGCACCATGGCACCAGAGCCAGACCGAGGCTCCTGCGGTGGATGACTGGTTTCGGCACGCGGAGGAGACGTGGGACACTGCCCACGTTCACCTCCAGCGCGCCCTGCATCGTCAGAAGGCCAACGCTGACCGTCACCGGGGGATCGGGTCTGGCTCTCGACCCGGAATCTGCCCCCCCGCCTGCCCTGCCGGAAGCTGAGCCCACGGTTTGTGGGCCGTTCAAAGTCCTGAGGAGGATCAACGAGGTTACGTATAGGTTGTTACTCCCCCCTGATTACTGTATTAACCCCTCTTTTCATGTGTCTCTCCTCAGGCCGGTGGTGGTTGGTCCGCTCGAGGAGTCTGAGGTGTGGGAGGTTCCTCCACCTCCTCTGGACATCGAGGGGGCCCCGGCGTACTCTGTCCGCTCCATCCTGGATTCGAGGCGTCGGGTGGGGGGCCTTCAGTACCTCGTGGAGTGGGAGGGGTATGGTCCGGAGGAACGGTGCTGGGTCCCAGTGAGGGATATCCTCGATCCCTCCCTGTTGCTGGATTTCCACCGTTGCCATCCGGCTCGCCCTGCTCCGCGTCCTCCTGGCTGTCCCAGAGGCCGGGGTCGGCACGCTGCTGGAGCTGCGCGTCAAGGGGGGGGGGTACTGTCACGATTTCGGCCGAGGCTGCCTCCCCTCCTTGTTCGGGCAGGCTTCGGCGTTCGTCATCACCGGCTTACTAATCACTGCCGCCCCAATCATCATCACAATTGTCTCGTCTTGTTAATCACACACACCTGGTTCCTATCCCCTAATTAGTTTGTGTATAAGTGTTCCCTCTGCCCCCTTGTCCTTGTGGGTGATTGTTAATTGTGAGAGTAATGTAGCTCGTGGAGCTACTCGTAACATTGTGTTGCCAGGGTAGATTTTCCCCTGTGCCTGTGTATTATTGGATTCCGTTACAGTGTATTTGCCAGGGATGATTGTTTCCCCTGTGCCTGTTTCGTTCATCGCTATTGGAGCACATTTGTGTGTCAACTAAGGAATAAACTCTGTATTCGGTGATTACCCTCCTGCGCCTGACTCTTTTCACCACACTCATCACAAACTCTCTCAAGTAAGGTACAATATTGCTCACTACAGTATAACTAAAAGCTCTTCGAACATCCTGATATGTATTTTTGTTAGCAATTAACCACAATGCAACAAGAACTTTCCTGCCAGGTCAACACAGCAAGCTGTCCTGTTTTCTAATCAATAGTCATATTTGCTTTGAGTAAAACACTGCCCTGTATGATAACTAAAACATTTACAGACAAAATATTAAATGACAGCTTTAGTAGCTTAATCATTTGTCTGATGTGAATTGTAGAATTCATTAACATGCTGTTGATTCAAACAGTGACATAACACCTCGGAAATTGTTCAGTTAGGCATGAGGTCCTTTTTCATTTTCTCCCTAAAGAGCCAGTGAGTCAGAAAAATAGGTTTGTCAGGGGAGCCTTTTATAACTTTAGTAAGGAACAACATAAGGTCATTGGCAGCATAAATATCCCCTTGCACGACTGTGGACACACAGTCCAGTAAATAACAGGCTGTCAGGGTTATACTGCATCAAATGGGCCAGCTGAGCTTTTCTGTCCTATCAGCACTTTATAGCAGAAGCACAGCTTCTTTTCTCCCTGCTTCACTGTCTCTGGTGGCATTGCGATGCATTCCAGTCCTATATGATTGAGCAAAGCAGCCCTGTTGTGACTGTATGGTTCTGTATGGCCCATAGAGCAGCTCAGAGCTGAGGGGGATTTAATACCGTGTGGATGGACTCTAGCTGTCCTGTTCAATGGATCAAGACAATCTCATTTACATAATCACATTCAAATTGCTTGAACTCATTCAAACTGTGATAACCTATCTGTCATTTTGCGTATGTCTAAGGTGTGTGTGTGTGTGCGTGTGCGTGTGTGCGTGCGTGCGTGCATGTGTGTATTAGACTCCAGAGATCTCTCTGATAACATTTGAAGGCCAGAACAGAGGAACCCAAATCATCCTCAACAGCCATGATGTGTATAATGTTTGGTATAATTCACCACAGACATCAGTCAACATGACCACAGACATTCTTGTTCATGTAATTAAAATGAAGCTGCTGTTAGTGGTTAAAATGGTGGAGACTGAATAAGAGCCATATAAGGCTTGTCAGTGTCAGTCTAGTTGAAATGCTGAGGGATTATCAGGGCTCTAGTGTGGGTTCTCTAGGCAGGTTGGAGTGGGGAGCCTTGTCAAAACACTGCTTAAAGAGCTTCTCATAGGCATTCACCTCAAATGAACCAGCAACTAGGACTGTGACGATCATGGAATTTTGTATGACGGTAATTGGCCAGCCAAATGACAGCATTACCGTAATAACTGTTTGAATTGCATATGTTTTTAGCACATTTTCTCATCTCCTCCGCTCCTGACTGCATGTGCTGGAATTCTATGTGTGCTGCTGCTGCACACACACACACACACACACACACACACACACACACACACACGCGCGGTTATGACGGTTATTTTATTTTCATTACGGTTTTCATCCATAACCGTCGGTTAAACGGTTATACAGTAATTGTGCCAGCCCTACCAGCAACCATATCACCTAAACAGCCATGGTCTGGTCTGATACATAGTTTCAGTTTCAAGTTTTAATGTCAACAATGCAGTCATAGACCATGGTCAGTAGGTTCAGAAGGTGTAGTACTGCACTGTGGGAATCTGTACGTCAAGATCATGTTGTTGAAGATGACTGTTGGTTGGGGAAGTAAGGGACCTTTAGGAATTTCAAAAATTTCAATCCAAGTTGAGGTCTGATGAAATGGTCTCCACTCAGATCTTTGGTAAACACTGCAGACAGGCCTTTATGTTGCATTAGTTGCTCTGGGAATCTGTGGGCTTGGAAACCTCGAGCTAGCCTGAGGTGCAACTGCCGTTGTTTTGGTTATATCATAGTAACCGTCTGACAACCCACAACATTGTGCAATCACAGGGGAGATGGCTGTCTCAGTCCCTCCCCACCTGGCTAGTAGTAGCAAGTTAACTAGTTGAGAGATGTCTTGTTATGCTTGGCCCTTATTAAGATGTGCTGTTCCAGCAGCTGTCACAGCCACTCCCCTTCCCTCCTCCTCTCAACCAACCCATTGGTGAACTCCTCAGCAGGAGGACACGAATGTCAATCTGTACTCCCTGCGCTGTCATGTATTATACATCCACTGTAATGAAAGCATATTTAGTTCATATTGTTTATTATGGCAGAAGAGTGGCTTTTGTTCCATGCCAACCCTGGTGTGAGTATAGAGAACTGGTCTTCCCTTGGACAGAGTAGATCATACATGGCTATTCGTGCATGATGACACTTGACATGACATCTCTCCTACAACCTTGAGCGAGGACATGGCTGTTACATTTTCCACCACTGCAAACCTATTCAACACAACACAGAATGACTGAGATGTAGGAGGTCAACATGCAATCATGGAAGCTCATTATGGAGTTTATTTCAGTCTCAGTTTAGATATAACAGCCTTAAGAAAGCTATCCAGAGCTGAAGGAGTGAGGTGAAGACAAAGTGAGGTGAGTAATGTTTACCTGTGGGAGGTGGTCCCCCCTGCTGGATAGAGGCAGTAGTCTCCTGGCTCAGCTTCCTCTTAGCCTCCAGGACTGGGTTCTCAAACTGAGTTCTCTGGTTGATGTGACTGAAACAGAAACAATCTATTATGTGATTAAAATTGTAGACACCAATTTACTGACACAGACACATACAAGCTCCCATGAACCATCTGTGTGTAATTCTGCAGACCACCTGTGTGTTATTCATGATGAAAGCACTGTTATGAATGGTTATAGTATGTCTTAGAATGCACTGGGGTGATAGAAGGTACCATACATTAATTCTCAATCCATTAACAATAGGTATTTTTAGATAGCTTTCCCAGTGTTTCTTCTGTGAGCTGTTGATTACAAGTCTATACAGAGACAAGGTGGTTAGTGTCCTCTTTATGTCTATGCCTAATGGTTATGTTGTTCAAATCAAATCAAATCAAATGTTATTGGTCACATACACATATTTAGCAGATGTTATTGCGGGTGTAGTGAAATGCTTGTGTTCCTAGCTCCAACAGTGCAGTAATATCTAACAATTCACAACAATACACACAATCTAAAAGTAAAAGAATGGGATGAAGAAATATATACATATTAGGACAAGAAATGTCGGAGTGGCATTGACTAAAATACAATAGAATACAGTATATACATATGAAATTAGTAAAACAGTACGTAAACATTATTAAAGTGACTAGTGTTCAATTATTAAAGTAACCAGTGATTCCATGTTACCAGTTGAATAGAACTAGATAACTCCTGACTACTTCTTCTTCTCTTTAACAATGTAAACAGTCTGTCCCTCTGGCATAACAAAACCATTGTTTTACAGAGTTCATTTTGAACTGGAACACCGGCAGCAAAAAGTCCCCGTACATTTGCTTTTGAAACAAACAGTATGAGTTCCTCTCTCTCCCCCCACAGCCTCTACCTATGAGGGATCCTTATGCAATACCAGTAATAAAAAAAAGCAGCGTTTAATTTCCTTTTCATCACAACAGCCTCCTGTACCTCTCCTTCCATCCTTGATAACTCTCACAACCCTCCTCCTATCTCTACTGCTGCTATAATGGCTGGGTTTCAGAGATGTCCTGCTGGGGCAGCCTGAACACACACACCTTCTGTACACAGACACTCAGACTCACAAACATTGCTGTGTTTTCACCCGGGTGAATGTGATGTTACCAACAGAGCTTCAGTTTACCACCCACTGAAAAACCAATACAAGAGTCTTGATCATGGAATAGTATTGTTCTCAAATTGATGGTTCCCTAGCAGTACACCACATGTCTAGTAACACATGGTATCCCTGCTATCCACAGTCTCAGTCAAAAGTTTGGACACACCTACTCATTGCAGGGTTTTTCTTTATTTTTACTATTTTCTACATTGTAGAATAATAGTGAAGACATCAAAACGATGAAATAACAAACATGGAATCATGTAGTAACCAAAAAAGTGTTAAACAAATCAAAATATATTTTATATTTGAGATTCTTCAAATAGCCACCCTTTGCCTTGATGACAGCTTTGCACACTCTTGGCATTATCTCAACTGGCTTCACCTGTAATGCTTTTCCAACAGTCTTGAAGGAGTTCCCACATATGCTGAGCACTTGTTGGCTGCTTTTCCTTCACTCTGCGGTCCGACTCATCCAAAACCATCTCAATTGTGTTGAGGTCGGGGGATTGTGGAGGTCATCTGATGCAGCACTCCTTCACTCTCCTTCTTGGTAATATAGCCCTTATACAGCCTGGAGGTGTGTTGGGTCATTGTCCTGTTGAAAAACAAATGATAGTCCCACTAAGCCGAAATCAGATGGGATGGTGTATCACTGCAAAATGCTGTGGTAGCCATGCTGGTTAAGTGTGCCCCCACACCACAACACCTCCTCCTCCATGCTTTACGGTGGGAAATATACATGCGGAGATCATCCGTTCACCCACACCGTGTCTCACAAAGCCACGGCGGTTTGAACCAAAAATCTCCAATTTGGAGACCAGAACAAAGGACAAATTTCCACCGGTCTAATGTCCATTGGTCATTTTTCTTGGCCCAAGCAAGTCTCTTCTTCTTATTGGTGTCCTTTAGTAGTGGTTTCTTTGCAGCAATTTGACCATGAAGGCCTGATTCACACAGTCTCCTCTGATGTTGAGATGTGTCAGTTACTTGAACTCTGTGAAGCATTTATTTGGGCTGCAATTTCTGAGGCTGGTAACTCTAACGAACTTATCCTCTGCAGCAAAGGTAACTCTGGGTCTTCCATTCCTGTGGCGGTCCTCATGAGAGCCAGTTTCATCATAGCGCTTGATGGTTTCTGCAACTGCACTTGAAGAAACTTTCGAAGTTCTTGAAATGTTCCTTATTGACTGACCTTCATGTCTTAAATTAATGATGGACTGTTGTTTCTCTTTGCTTATTTGAGCTGTTCTTGCCATAAAATGGACTTGGTATTTTACCAAATAGGGCTATCTTCTGTATACCCCCCTACCATGTCACAACACAACTGATTGGCTCAAACGCATTAAGAAGGAAAGACATTCCACAAATGAACTTTTAAGAAGGAACACCTGTTAATTAAAATGCATTCCAGGTGACTACCTCATGAAGCTGGTTGAGAGAATGCCAAGAGTGTGCAAAGCTGTCATCAAGGCAAAGGGTGGCTTTTTGAAGAATCTCAAATATAAAATATTTGTTTAACACTTTGTTATTTCATAGTTTTGATGTCTTCACTATTACTCTACAATGTAGAACATAGTAAAAATAAAGAAAAACCCTGGAATGAGTAGGTGTTCTAAAATGTTTCACCGGTAGTGCATATACAGTGGGGAGAACAAGTATTTGATACACTACCGATTTTGCAGGTTTTCCAACTTACAAAGCATGTAGAGGACAAAAATCCAGAATATCACATTGTATGATTTTTAAGTAATTAATTTGCATTTTATTGCATGACATAAGTATTTGATACATCAGAAAAGCAGAACTTAATATTTGGTACAGAAACCTTTGTTTGCAATTACAGAGATCATACGTTTTCTGTAGGTCTTGACCAGGTTTGCACACACTGCAGCAGGGATTTTGGCCCACTCCTCCATACATCCTCCAGATCCTTCAGGTTTCGGGGCTGTCGCTGGGCAATACGGACTTTCAGCTCACTCCAAAGATTTTCTATTGGGTTCAGGTCTGGAGACTGGCTAGGCCACTCCAGGACCTTGAGATGCTTCTTACAGAGCCACTCCTTAGTTGCCCTGGCTGTGTGTTTCGGGTCGTTGGAAGACCCAGCCACGACCCATCTTCAATGCTCTTACTGAGGGAAGGAGGTTGTTGGCCAAGATCTCGCGATACATGGCCCCATCCATCCTCCTCTCAATACGGTGCAGTCGTCCTGTCCCCTTTGCAGAAAAGCATCCCCAAAGAATTATGTTTCCATCTCCATGCTTCACGGTTGGGATGGTGTTCTTGGGGTTGTACTCATCCTTCTTCTTCCTCCAAACATGGCGAGTGGAGTTTAGACCAAAAAGCTATATTTTTGTCTCATCAGACCACATTACTTTCTCCCATTCCTCCTCTGGATCATCCAGATGGTCATTGGCAAACTTCAGATGGGCCTGGACATGCGCTGGCTTGAGCAGGGGGACCTTGCGTGCGCTGTAGGATTTTAATCCATGATGGCGTAGCGTGTTACTAATGGTTTTCTTTGAGACTGTGGTCCCAGCTCTCTTCAGGTCATTGACCAGGTCCTGCCGTGTAGTTCTGGGCTGATCCCTCACCTTCCTCATGATCATTGATGCCCCACGAGGTGAGATCTTGCATGGAGCCCCAGACCGAGGGTGATTGACCGTCATCTTGAACTTCTTCCATTTTCTTCCAGTTGTTGCCTTCTCACCAAGCTGCTTGCCTATTGTCCTGTAGCCCATCCCAGCCTTGTGCAGGTCTACAATTTTATCCCTGATGTCCTTACACAGCTCTCTGATCTTGGCCATTGTGGAGAGGTTGGAGTCTGTTTGATTGAGTGTGTGGACAGGTGTCTTTTATACAGGTAACGAGTTCAAACAGGTGCAGTTAATACAGGTAATGAGTGGAGAACAGGGGGGCTTCTTAAAGAAAAACTAACAGGTCTGTGAGAGACGGAATTCTTACTGGTAGGTAGGTGATCAAATACTTATGTCATGCAATAAAATGCAAATTAATTACTTAAAAATCATACAATGTGATTTTCTGGATTTTTGTTTTAGATTCCGTCTCTCACAGTTGAAGTGTACCTATGATAAAAAGTAAAGACCTCTACATGCTTTGTAAGTAAGAAAACCTGCAAAATCGGCAGTGTATCAAATACTTGTTCTTCCCACTGTACGTGTTTGATTTGGGCTTCGTCCCCGTCGTTTTTCATGCCATACCTTGTGTTGGGTGGAGTAATAAAAAAACCTAATACGTATTCCTGCGCCTGTCTTCTAATCATTATACAACATGTCCAAACTTTTGACTGGTAGTGTATACATAATGTATACTGTACCTATGGTTAGTTTATGATCTATGGTATTGCTGGGGAATATGTGGTGTAGTATCTCTCAGATATAGATGTGGTGGCAGAGTGAACAGACTTACTCTACATAATATGTTCCATACTGTGGGTCCTCTATTTCCTCCCAGCCATACGGAAGCTCTGTGGATACAAGAAGAGATGCATTGTGTTCAACTACTATAACACAAAAAATGCACATGTACAGCACTGCAGGATAACAGGGCATAGTGATGAGAAGAGACCAGCAGACACTAGACACAATGCTTATGCACACATTACAGTTGGGCGACATAACCATTTCACTGGGGTTTCCAGGTATAAGACGAATAACAAGTTTGCTTTATTTTCCTCCTACCAGGGAAGTTAAGCATGAGAAAATGGGCATGGAAAAAAAAAAACACTGACATTTTGCAGTTTTTGCAGGCAGCCTGGCTGGAATGGCTGCTGTACTGTACATCATGCAATTACAGCTGTGAGTCTTTCTGGGTAAGTCTCTAAAAGCTTTCCACACCTGGATTGTGCAACATTTGCCCATTATTCTTTTCAGAATTCTTCAAGCTCTGTCAAATTGGTTGTTGATCATTGCTAGACAACCATTTCAGGTCTTGCCATAGATTTTCTAGTAGATTTGTCAAGCCCTGGCCTATAGAACTCTAGCTAGTTTGGTCAGGGTGTGAATTTCTAGGTTTGTATTTCTATGTTTGGCCGGGTGTGGTTCCCAATCAGAGGCAGCGGTTGCTCGTTGTCTCTGATTGGGGATCATACTTAGGCAGCCAGTTTTCCTGCCTGTGTTGTGGGTTTTTGTTGTGTTCCTGTGTTAGGCTTGTGTGTTAGCCTTTGGACCGTCACGGTTAATTTTTGTTATTTTGGTTACTGTGTCGTGTGTTTATTCTTTAATAAATATATACGCCTTTCACGCTGCACCTTGGTCCGTCCCGTTCCTTAACGTACGTGACAAGATTTAAGTTGAAACTGTAGCTCGGCCACTCAGGAACATTCACTGTCTTCTTGGTAAGCAACTCCTGTGTAGATTTGGCCTTGTGTTTTAGGTTATTGTCCTGCTGAAAGGTGAATTAATCTCCCATTGTTTGGAGGAAAGCAGACTGAACCAGGTTTTCCTCTAGGACTTTGCCTGTGCTTAGCTCTATTTCATTTCTTTTTTATCCTGAAAAACTCCCCGGTCCTTAAAGATTACAAACATACCCAAAACAGGATGCAGCTATCACTATGCTTGAAAATATGGAGAGGGGTACTCAGTAATGTGTTGTATTGGATTTGCCCCATACATAACACTTTGAATTCAGGACAAAAAGTAAATTGCTTTGCCACATTTCTTTGCAGTATTACTTTAATGCCTTGTTGCAAACAGGATGCATGTTTTGGAATATTTTTATTCTGTACAGGCTTCCTTATTTTCACTCTGTTTTCACTCGGTTAGTATTGTGAAGTAACTACAATGTTGTTGATCCATCCTCAGTTTTCTCCTATCACGGCCATTAAACTCTGTAACTGTTTTAAAGTCACCATTGGCCTCATGGTGAAATCCCTGAGTGGTTTCCTTCCTCTCCGGCAACTGAGTTAGGAAGGACGCCTGTACATTTGCAGTAAATTGGGTGTATTGATACACAATCCAAAGTATAATTAATAACTTCAACATGCTCAAAGGGATATTCAATGTCTGCTTTTTTTTACCCATCTTTTTTTTTAACCATCTACCAATAGGTGCCCTTCTTTGCGAGGCATTGGAAAACCTCCCTGGTGTTTGTGGTTGAATCAGTGTTTGAAATTCACTACTCGACTGAGGGACCTTACAGGTAATTGTATGTGTGGGGTACAAAGATGAGGTAGTCATCAAAAATCATGTTAAACACAATTATTGCACACAGAGTGAGTCCATGCAACTTATTATGTGACTTGTTAAGCAAAGTTGTACATTTCAGCTTTTCATTTTTAATTAAATAGAATAAAATTAAAATAAACATAATTCCACTTTGACATTATGGGGTATTGTGTGTAGGTCAGTGACAAAACAATCTAAATGTAATCCATTTTAAATTCAGGCTGTAACACAACAAAATGTGGAAAAAGTCAAGGGGTGTTAATACTTTCTGAGGGCATTGACAATCCTATCTGTATAGAAACATAGTCATGTATATTTGATGAGCTCTCTGTATATGTGAAATAATGCAGGGGCTGAGGGGCATACCCATGTGTAAAACTACATGTGTATACTAGTAGTAGTAGTAGTGGTAGTAGTAGTAGTAGTACTGGTAGCTGTAAGTGCTTCCTGTATGTATGGTCCACTAAGGTCCTGAAGCCTTACCTCCATCCTCACACTTCTCTGGGGGCTTGGCTTTCTTGGCCAGGCGGGGGTCCAGCCAAGTGGTGGTCTTGCTGTTGTGACTGTGAAGGGCAGATAAGAGAAACATTCAAAAACCTGAGCCAGCTACTGACACTGGTATTTGCATCAGTGGAAAGGTAGACAGTCATGTACCCCCCAACACTACAGTATATCCTATGTTATGCTTTCTTTGAAAGCTACACAAGTTACAAATAACTGCTTGACCAATTAATGAATCCTGCTTTGTATTCAAATGAGGGGAAAACTGAAACACAGTATTCATTATGATATGTGGCGATTTCAGACAAGAGCAGCTGGAAGCCTGTTTTCAAACAACTCAAAGGCCTCTGGGAGAGGTATATTTACTCAATCGTTCCTAAAACACAGTATTGATTGGTCAGGAAAACTGCTGAAGTGTTCTTGAGGAGAAACCACCAAATAAATGAGCTTCGACTAGAAACACTTTTAAAACAATCATGTAGGCTAGGGCTGTCAGTTTTGGAGTAAACATTGAGTCAGTATGAGTGGATTTTAAAGAGACCCACACCAGTCCAGGCCTTGGCTTGTATAACTAACTTAAATCCTCTGTCTGTTCGGCATGGCTTATGTAACATGTGTGCTATGTGCTTCACTAATCTAATCAACAATTTCATGATAATTTGCATGATGCTGATCAGAT